GAGCTCGCCCAGCCTAATCCCAACCTGAGAGGCCTAAAATTCATCCACGCCCGGCGCATTTAACTAATGCTCAGTGTCCTTGAGACAGAGACTCCTAAGAGTCTCCACGCCTGACGCAACCAAATCACGCCTGGCCCAATATCCAACCCGAGAGCCCTAAGCTCTTCCACGCCTGGCGTGCTCAACCTACACCTAGCCTAATCCGAGTCAGAGAGTTCAAAACTCTCATCCAAACTAATAAATCTAACCACATGCAAACACAAAAACACAATGCATAGGCTCCATACAACACAAAACAAACTCAAAATCAACATGCACCTATCTGATGCATCAAATTCACCAAAAACCCCATTTTTCCCAAAGCCCCGAAAAATGAGCGAATTCTCCGATCCAGCCATGGATCCTCAACTTTCATGCATCAATTGAGTTTCTAAACTCACATGCAACTTAAATAACAAACATTCTAGCTTCCCTCACCTGAAGATTGGCTCAAAATAACCAATAACTGAGAAGAAGTAGAATTCCCTTCCGAAGCTCAACCCGAAACTTCAATCCTCCCAAAGCAAGCTTCCTAATCTGAATTTCAAGAAAAGACAGAAGACATTAGTGATCTAGAGGAGAAAAAGAATCATACAGAGAAATTTGGGGGAGAAAGGAGCTCACAGACCTAGAGTCCTTCTCTCTAAAACTTCTAACTTCACTTTCTCCTCAACCACTCAACCCCTATTTATAGAAGTTTAGGAGTGGCCAGAATGGCCTGTTCCAAATCCGGAACGGCCCGTTCTGCACCCCTTCATCATGTGCAAAAATCACATGCAGAACGGCCCGTTCTGAAACTAGAACAGCCCGTTCTCGGATTCATCCAGAACGACTCGTTCTCCATGATGAATGGCCTGTTCTCCATCCAGAACGGCTCGTACTCCCTCCAGAACACCCCGTACTCCCTCCAGAACGGCCTGTACTCCATCCAGAACGACCCGTTCTCAACTACGATTTACAGGTGAATTTAGTAGTTTGGAACAGCCCGTTCCAGATTGGGAACGGCCCGTTCTGGGCTACTAAATCACCCATATTGGGCTTTGGGTCTTCTGAAATAACTTACTATGTTACAAACATGACACACTAGGAACTACTTTTTAACTTTTCAATGCATAAAGCAATTTAAATAAGTTGCTTCTATTGAAGAGACCCTTATATGTTTGACAAATATAACATAATTATAATTTATTTATATTAATTCATGTAGTTCAACTAATAATTCACATTTAGAGTCATTTAATTTTTTATATTTAGAAACAACTCACATAAATTATTGGAAGGAAGGGAGAATGGAATAGAACACCTACTTTTTCATTTAATGCTAAGTTATTCAAAGCATTATAGTGGTTTGAGAATGATTTTGTATAAAGTTTTATTATAGACAAGGATATTTTTAAGTGAAAATACTTAAATATTTATTGATAGAACTTTGGATTTAGTGTATATATTGGGTACATTTTTTATTTTAAAGCTCTTTTTCATTTCTTTTAAGAAAAATATTGAATGAATAAAATAGTACTTTGGACACTTTTTATGAAGATATGTTTCAATGTAGTGTTAAAAATATAATATTTATATCCCATAATTGGATGATGTATTCTCTATATTTCATGTAATTTTGTTAGATTATCAAAATATAATAATCCTTATTATCAAAAAAAATTATTAGAAACTTTAGGAGTTGGATGCTTCAAGTGCATCGGGTTGAACATAAAAAAGAAATAATTAAGGTTGAAAATCCATTGAATTCAATGAAGAACTGAAAACATGTTAGATCAACAATTTTTTTTTCCTTCATTTTCTCTCTTTATTTTTACACAACCAAACAAGGCAGATTCCATATTTCTCATTTATTTCTCCTTTCTCCAGTTCCATGTTATTGGACATGATGTAAAGGGAAATTTTCTTTGAAAAATACAATTTTGTATTAATATTTCCACAAATTTAGAAAGAAGAACATACAAAATCTTACATTGATTTACCCCAAAATAACAAGGTTACATTTAATCTTTACCAACTAGTTAAGATTTTCGTTATATATTTACACTCAATGCGGATACCTCACTGTCTAAATATTTTTTTCTTCAACTTCTTCAAGTTAATATTCTAAGTACTTCTGTTCAAGATTCTTTAGGCTTTGCTCACACCTTCAAAACTTAAAAGAAAATAAAATTTAGGTTAAATTATATTTTTAATTCTTCTACTTATTTATTTTTTGACATAAAAAAATAGAGGGACTAAAAATATAATCTCATTTAGTCCTCTATTCTTTTTATATTTTTAGTCCTTCTATTTATTTTTAGGATTCAATTTAGTGTTATTATTTTTAAAAGATTTAATTTGATCCTTTAATTTTTTTAAAAATATTCAATATTATCTTTTTGTTCAAATTAACGCTAACAACATTAATGAAATGGTACAACTATTTATTGCTCTATCATTTAAAAATAAGATACTATATGAATGGAAATGAGTGAATATTTTATGATAATTATAAAAAACACAAGTAAAAAAAACACTAAACTAATCCTGTGTCTAAAATAATAATTATACAACAATTTAATTATAAAAAACACAAGTAAAAAAAACACTAAACTAATCCTGTGTCTAAAATAATAATTATACAACAATTTAATTATATTCGTATGTTTATTGGAAAACTTTAACGACAGCAAAATGCAGATGAAAGAAAATTCACAGAAAATTTTATCACACATTCTCCTGGATTAGTTAATTTTATGCCGTATATGTATATGAGGACCACTTTATGATTGAAATTCTTTCAAATATGCATATTAGAATATCAGGTAGAGAAGAAAAGGAGGTTAGTCAATATTTGTATAAAGTTTTTTTTTTTCCTGAGATGCATTAAAAGGGTATTTTTTTTTATTTATTAACAGAGAGAATTCTCTTATTAAACACAAAAAATATTCTCTTTCAAAAATTAAACATCGAATAAATAGACATTTTCTTTAACTTAAGTTTTTTTGTATTCACATGAATCAAGATTTAATCCTTAATTATTTAGTTAACTAATGTAAATCCCTCATTTTTTCACGTCAACTCAAGTTAATTAGTGTAATATGAAGTAATTAATTTAATTAGACGATGACACAATATACTATAAGTCAATGGTGAATATACATTACTTACAAAATGCAAAATCTTTGTGTGTAATTCACTGTGGCATACATTCGTAACTTATTTTCACAAGAAAAAGAGGAGAGATTATGAGACAAAGAGTCTTCACTCTTCAAACATTGGTGGGATCCAAAAGTTGCTTTGTTCTAGAGAGAAAAAAGAAAAAGAAAAAGAAAAAAAAAACATTGATCAGTTGTAGATGAAGCGACACCCATCGTAGCCTGTTGAGAAGCAAAAAAGTAGCATTAGTGATGGCAATTTGTAATCAGACCAAACAAGACTTAGGTTAATTATGAAGTTCTTTATATTAGTGCATGTTTATATGATTTTTTTTTTCTTTCAAAAACTTTGTTTCGAAATAAAACATGATCAGTTTTAAAAATAAGTTAAACTAAAAGTATACCTAAATAAAGCAAATAGGTTTAATCAGGATTCAAATATATTTTTAATTCTTACAAATATACTAAATTGAGTTTTAGTTCTTCGATTTTTTTAATTAATTTTGATCCTCGTAAATTTGTCTATTTTTCAATTAGTCATTGTAATTATTTTGTGACGAGATACCATGTATTTAAACATAAATTTAATATATCATTTGATCTTGAAATTTTTTAACATTGTACAATAAGTTCCAACATTAAACAAATTTATAATTAGATCCTCTATTTTTTCTATTTTTGTAATTTAGTTTATAGAATTAGAAATTCGTTTATAATTAATGAAATTTCACAAAATATTATTTATATATTACAAAGTATATTTTATGAAATTTCATGAACAATAAAAAAAATTTCAACCTCAAGAACAAAATAAAAAAAAATATTAAAAAATGAAGAACATAATTACAATTTTTTTAGTTTAGAAAATTAATTAAAAATTTTCAAAAAATTTAGAAAACAAACTATATATTAAACCTTAAACATATTAGAACAACTATACTCTAATGTGACGTAACATCTCTAGATGCATAATAAGTTATCATAGGAAACTATTTTTAAAACTATTAACAATTTCAAAGGACCAAAATCAATTTTTTTTTTAAGATTAAAAAACATAGTTAATGGTTAAAATTTACTAATCTAAATCTATTCTACGATTGTGGACTCACTAGGATCAACTGCAACAAGCATGGCTGTGCCTCCAAACTCGCAATTGCCACCAGCACCTTTGGTCCTTTGCCAGTAGCTATTGAAAGCGTACGAAGCATGTGCATACACAGTGTCGGGCTGATAGCACGGCCCATTGGGCTGAATGGAGGTGCAATCTGCTCCTGACCAACAAGCATAGTTCATGGCCTCTTGGATGATTGGGTCTGGGACTGAGGGCTTAGCCACACACCACAGGGTGGTCCTTGGGGCATAGTTGGGTGGTGGTGGCACACTTGGTGGAGGGTACACTACTGGTGGCTGAAACACACTTGGGCTTGGGACAGAGCCCTCAGTGGGGGATGGAACAGTGCTTGGTGGGCTTGGGAGAGTGCCCCCAGTGGGGGTTGGGATGGTAGTTGGTGGGCTTGGGAGAGTGCCTTCTGTGGGGGATGGGACGGTAGTTGGTGGGCCTGGGGTGATGCCACCTGTGGGGGAAGGGATGATGGAAGGTGGGGTGGGCTCAAAGTAAGGTGGGCTGGGTTCAAAGTAGGGTGGGCCCATTGAGGAGTCAGGTGGGCTTGGTGTGATAATGATGGGAGGATTGAGTATGGGCTCGGGTGAGCCTGGGATGATAGTGGGTGGGCCTGGGACAATTTCTGGGGGGAAGGACCCTGGTGGGCCTGGTGTTATGGTTATTGGGCTTGGAGGGCTTGGTTGAAGGCCTATGGGTGTAGGGATGGTGGTGGTACTTGGTGGTGGGAACACACAAAATGGAGGGCTGTTTTCTGGCAATGGGATTGGAGCCAGTGATTCATAAGGGGGCAAGGAAAATGGGGAGCTAAGACTATAGGGTTGAACATTTGATGAGAATATAGTTGGATTATTATTATTATTCACATCAAAATGCTTCACCACTTTCAACTTCTTTGGGTTCTTGTTCATTGTATTTCTCCTATGTCTAGGGCCTTTCAACAATAGTCTCATTGATCTATCTGCATCTGAAAAACGGGAAAGTAATGTGGCTTTTGGGCCATGAACTTATTTCCATTCAAAATTTGCTTCATCTCAACAATATCATAATGCAATTGTTAATATACCATAGAATCTATTTAAATATAGCCTAGAATGATAGTCCAACAAGCAAATGCCTGTGCATATGCATTACAACACATCTTCCACATGTGACCCATTTATGCAAGATCATAGTTAAATTCAAAATTTGGGAAAAATTGGGATGACATAACATAGTACATTTGTTTAAGTAAAGGAGGCTTACCACAATGAGTGAGAGAAATGGAAGCCAAAGTGAGGTAGAGGAGAAGTATCCCAACATTCTTTCTCACTCTTCTTGTTTCCATGACCAATTGCAATTTTGGTTATTGCAATGGCACAAGAGATATAAAGAGGCACTCCAATTCCAGTGCATTGAAAGACTCAAAGGTAGAACAATGTGAGGTTTTTATATAAATGTAAGAGTGAACCAGAGTAAAGCAAGAAGAGTAGACAAGAGGTTCTGTTTGGGATAAAGATTGATTCTTTGGGTGACACAACTTTGATGCACAGTCATCTTTGGCTGGAGATGTGTGCATGAAGGCATGTCAAAAGTGCAGAAAAGTTGTCACAAATGTGAGTATTTTATGGGAATTGGCTCACCGGCTCAACAATGTCCTTTTCTGGGAGTTTTTATAACTTCATTTCAAGGTGGTATATATGCTTGCTTCTCCCTTGGAAAAGATCAAAGTTTGGTTTTATCAACCCTTTTTCTTTTACTTGCTTTCTACTCAAAGCTCTCTCATGGAAACACTAAGGCGTGTGGAAGAGGTTGGTTTAGTCAATAACCATAACCAAGAAGCCATTAGATACTAGTTAGTTTTAGACATGCAACCTAGAAAATGGCTTGGGGGTTATGAATCCAAATCAACATTCATACATAAACTGACTTTAATTTATATAAACTATGTAATCAACTAATAAAAATCATTATTAGTATAACTTTTAACATGATTATTATACAAGTCAACAAATTTACCTTACACAATAATGTGATTGAATAACCGTGTAAAAATTCTTTATATATGGTCTCACTATATACAAAGTTTTGTCAAACAAAAGAAAAGAGAAAAAAATGAATGGTGGCTTAGTTTCTGCAAAGAGTAGTATATTGTGTATTTGTAACATCTCCTTATAAAGTGCATCACAATTTTTGTCTAACTGGAAATGGATGTGATATGGTTGTTCCTTTGTTGTGATGTTCCAACTCTAAATACTAGTTAAGATACTTTAGGGAAAGTGTGCTTTAGGCTACAATGTACTGCATTAGTGTGTCAATGTCTCATGTTAAGAGCCTAAAATCTGAGGGTGATCTTTTTAAGGAAAAGGAAGAAGGGAAATTGTCTGTAGTGGGAAAAAGAGAGCTTGGTGCATGATGTGACATATGAGTAGGACAAATATAGTATTAATTTGGCCACCTTTATGATGATATCTTTGATAACTTAATGTAACACATTAGATGAGTTATGGTTTTATAAGAGTTAATTTGCCCAATAACAGGGATGAAAGAGTTTTGGTATAAAAGTTTCTTGTTTGGAATCTGATGAATGTTATCTGTAATTGCTTCTTCATTCTGGTTTTTGGTTTGTGAACCATTCCTCTTTTGTCCCAAAATTTAAAATATGCTATTTTGACAATGAGCAAGAGAATAGTTTTACAAATTTAACGTATATTTTCAAGGATGAAATACTAGAGTACAACAACTGATAAGTTTTGTAAATTTAACGTATATTTTCAAGGATGAAATACTAGAGTACAACAACTGATAAGTTTTCAATCATTTGGGTCATGTCAAAGTAAGGTTTCAAAGTTTTTGAGCATAACATAATAAGTATTTTTTTAAAGTTCAATTACCCTTCTAATCTCTATAATTTTATAAATTTAACTTTTTAATTCCCACAATTAAAAATATTTCATTTTAATTCTTATACAAATCACTTTTGATTTTCTTTAGTCCTTATAAATTATAAACTTCTTTTTAATTTTTATGAAAATAGAGGACAAAGACTAAAAAGGATAAAATATAATAGGCTTAATTGCACTTTTAGTCCTCCTAATTTAGTGCAGGAGTAATTTTGGTCCTCATAATTTGAATTGCTTAATTCTGGTTCATAAATTTAAATAATGGACAATTTTAGTCTCACAAACAATTTATCATCCAAAATTTAACAGACGTTAATACTGTGAATTTTATGCTAAATAAATATTAATTATATATCATTTAATTTCTTACGTGTCAAATTATTTAATATTCAAATTTTAAATTTAAATAACATTGAAAACAAAATGAAAAGGGTATTGATATCAATCGCAATGAGAATTTTTCACTAAATTAGAATTTTTTTAAAAAAGTTTATCAAAAAAGCACCTGTACCAATTTATTTACCCATGTAGCACCTTTCACTGTTTACGTTCAGAATTCGGTTCCCGGAGAATCGAATAATGAGCTATTAATTTTTTTTTTTTTTTTACGTTTTGGATCTGAGCATGGTGTAAAACTGGATCCAGAATGGCCCGTTCTCCTTTCAAAACGCCTCGTTCTCCTTGCAGCACTTGCAGAACGACCCGTTCTCCTTTTAGAACGGGTCGTTTCGGATGTAAAAATACACACATGATGGATCAAAACACGCCGTTCTACTTAGACGTTCCAGTTTCAAAATTAACAGACTACGCGTGCAAGCAGAACAACCTATTCTGCTCGGAGAACAAGTCGTTCTAGTTGCAACATTAACACGTATAAGAAAGAGAAATATAAAATAAATAAATTTAAAATTTTTAAAATTTGAATATTAAATAATTTGACACGTAAGAAATTAAATAATATATAATTAATGTTTATTTAGCATAAAACGTCTGTTAAATTTTGGATGGTAAATTGTTTGTGGGACTAAAATTGCTCATTATTTAAATATATAGACCAAAATTAAGCAATTCAAATTATGAGGACCAAAATTGCTCCTATACTAAATTAAGAGGACCAAAAGTATTATTAAGTCAAAATAATATGTATAGGGACTAAAATAGAATATTTTTAACTATAGAGATTAAAAGGCTAAATTTATAAAAGGATAAAAAATGCAATTAAATTTTTTAAAAATTATTTTTTGTTTTTGTATCAAGTATAACTTTTTTTTTTTATTTCACAGTTTTATATCTGTATATATTTTCGAAAAACAGAACGAAAAGTACTATTTTAGAAAATAAAAATTATAGAATGGTTCTTCAACAAAGAAGTCCTAATAAAATAATCTCACTAAATGAAATTAAAGTAGCTTTTCAGAAATATTTATTGGCATCTTTCTTTGCTTCAGCCATCAAGCATGTCCATAATGGTTAGATACATAACTTAGCATTTGGATGCATGTGTTCTTCTATGTGAATATGTGATGTGAACGGGGCAAGGTGCATATTTTGGTTACTTTGGTTCATATTTCTTGTTTAATCTTTTATTTATTTATTTATTTTTATTTCTTTAAATGGTTGATGCTTCTGATCATCAAATTGGAAGAATCAGAACAATGTTATGGGCTCAAGAGCTAATTTATTCCTCCCATATGTCAATTTCTGTTATTTTCTTAGAATGTATTTAAACAAGGAATTTTAAAAAGATATGTAGTGTTCGTTTTAGATAATTATATATTGTTCGAGATTTATACTGTTTTATAGGACAATAATTATTTTATCGTCAAGTAGTGTGTTTGGCAATAATTACACACACTCACAGTTTTAAAGAATAATTAAACTTACAAGTTGTTTAGTATCTAAAATAAGATTTTTTAAAACCTGAGGTATTTTAATGGATCGTTTATTATTTAAATTTGGAAATTTATAATTCAATGTTAGTATATAGGAGAAATATTGCATGCATTGTACGAAACCACCATAGTTTTATTTATAGTAAATTTTTTATTTTAATTAAATTAGATAAAAAAATTATTCATCAATACTAATTGACACAAATAATAACAATTTGTACTCTTAAAAAAATTAAAAATTAATCAAAATTATTAACACGTGATAATTTCAATCTATGTATGTAATGACTTTTCAATAGTGAAATTAACCAAGTATAAGTTGACTACTTTTAGAATGTCTCTTACTCAGAATTTGAGAATTTTTAATATTTTTTTCTCTTTCTTTGCTCACTTTGCTAATTAATGTTGATACAGTTTTTATTTTATACCCTCATATTTTAATTGATTTTTGTTCAAGTGGTTAATTAACTCCTTCAATTCAAAATAAAGAAAATCTTATAATTATATTTTTGAGTCACACTCATAATGTGCTTAACACCTCCTGAGGAAAAAGATGAAAGTGAGAGGCACAAAAACATGGAAATAGACACATAATTCTAATATTTCAACAAGACATTCCCTATCAAAATGGTGTGCTTTAATGATTTTTTTTTTCAAAGTAGAAGAAATGTCATTTTCTACAAATCACACTTCAACAATGATGTTCCATTAATTTTTGTTTGCTATGAACTTCAAACTTCAAAGGGTTTGAATCCATAAATATCTTGGCAGAAGGAGACATAAAGTAGAGAGTGTGTTTGGTTCTAGTGGGAATCATGAGAATTGATTTTAACTCCAGTCAAAATTAATTTTATATAATATAATTTTTTGGTTATTAGTAAGCAAGATTGATTTTTCTTCAAAATGTCGGTTTGACAAGAAGTAATAAAAAGTAACTTTTGAACTAGTTTAAAATTTATACTAAATTTTATAATAAACTTGCTTTCAAAATTAAATCATTCAAATATAAATTGCTCCACTTGAAAATAAATTTGAATAAAAATTAATTTTATTTGAATTTAGTTTTATAAACAATCATTCAAACACATACTAACTTACAAAGTATTTGGTATGGTGGAAAATGGTAGAAAAGAAGAGAAGATAAGAGAAATGTGTGAAAGAGAATTTAAGAAATATGAGTAATTTTTTGTAGGACTCAACAAAAATCTTTCACACAAAAATGAGGAGATTTGCATGGAACACTCTAATTATCGGGGTTTAATGTTGTTTCATATATACATATATTTATACACATAATCATTATAATATATATATATATATATATATAAATAATTTGTAATGGTCAAATAAGTTATTAAATGGTATAATAACTCAAACATACACCTCATCTATCTTATATTCACATAAGTATCATTCAAACACATACATATAAACAATATAAAAAAACAAGGAATTTACATACATAATTATTTTAAAAGCTCCTCATATAACATAATAACTTAAGGATCTCCTCATGGGATTATATTGATCTCTCGGCAAATGAGTTAGAATCAACTTATAACAATGATGAATCAAGTCATTTCCTCAAAGATTTGATTGATTGATTCTCAATTATTTTATATAGCAAAAA